CCACATTGATCGTCTGGGTGAGAACTCAGACTGAGGTTTCCTCCGCATCACCGGTGGATTCACTGTTCAACCGCTGCTCTCAGGTAGGTGCTTGCTCCCACTCCCGCCCATGCATCACGTGACCTCCCCTCGACCTTAGTATGACTAGGTCCGGTCGGGGTTCTGCAGTTTACAAGCCGCTGGGGGCGATGTTCTACCCTCCACCGTTCGTGCTAAGTGAGAGCCGATCCACCAGTAAAGTACAGGTGCATACAAACGCAGCGATCCTGCCGTCCCGTTCTGCTGCCCGACGCGGTGGCTTAAATTCTGGTTTGTCCCGCACCGCCAGTCCGCTTGGTAAGTCACCTCATCCCTCTTCCCCTTGCACCGACTCTTCCTTCCTTAGCGTGTGAGTGCTCCTAGCTGACAAGTCACCCAGATACACGCCTACTAAAGAATCAGACTGATTAAGAGGGCGCCTAACTATAAGGTATGTATCCTCACCTCCTACTTACTCCCTCTCTTCTCACTTTTCTGACCCCCTCTCTCTCTCGCTCTGCGTCAAGCTGCACCCTTCCCACTGCTGCCTCTAAGTACGGATGAACCTTCCTTCTCATAGCGACTAGGTGCGCTGCTGGCTGAAAACCAGCCCGTCAGTGCCCTGACATGCTTCTGTCTTCAGGCCTATCGGGTCGCAGCGGCTCCCAGGTGAGTTTCTGACCCCACGGCCTGGCTTAGCTCCCTTCCACCGATAGGATGGACAACCCCGACAAAAAAAGTAAAATAAAATAATAATAATAATAATAGTAATAAAATAATAATAATAATAAAAATCGACTGAATTTTCCGCTGGATAGGTTCCCACGCAGCCCATATCCTTTACACTGGCTAAAGCGCTACTCAAATCGAAAATCCGATATGGCCATTCAACTCGGAATGGCCCAAAACCTCTGTCTAGAGTCTTGGCTTGGAAAAATCGGCCATGAGAAGAGCGAGATATGCCACTTTCACCCCCTACCTTATCCGAGTCCGCCATCTCTATAACTCCACTCAACCTCTTACTAACAGAACTCTAAAACTAACCACTAAACTCCAATTCTAACCCTACCATCCAAATCGCAGTATGTCAAAACCTCGAAAATGAATCTTCTCTCGCTCGATTTAATCCAGAAACGAGAGAGATACACATTCCTTTCTCCTCACCTCTCTTGTTCCCGCCATCGCCCGCGCACTAGCCTTCCATACTAACTCCTATTCCTACTAAATTTTACCCAATTCTGACTATAAAAACGGGGTCGCCCAGTATAAAACCCCCCAAAACGACTCTCCGTTCGCCCAACTCCATTAAGACTCGAGTGAGCTACACGTTTTTGCAGCCGGCCATAGTAACTCCTCCCTCTTCTTCACCTTCGAATGCACCCCGGCGCGCATCCCGTCCAGAGTCATCCTTTTATCTCTTTTTTTTTTTTTTTTTTTTCCACACTCCGTCGCTTTCCTCCAATCTTGCTGCCGGGCTGTCCCCAGTCACTCCGCTTTCACTGGTTCACCCCCATGTCCTCCGGTCACCCTTGGCTGCCTTCGAACGCCCCCACTCTCTTTCTCTCCCTCCTCTGCGCTCCCGTCCCGCCTCAAGACTCCGCTCCAACCCACACATCATCTGGGCGTTGACTGTCACCGGCAGCAGGCCGGTGCCTTCGAGGGTCGACTTCTTATACACTCACCTGCCGAGCCCACCAGCCCGGATTTGGATGGCGCTGAAACATGCCACCTATGCTCTACCGTCGTGGGGGTCCGAACTTGGGCCTGTATTTCAACAACTCAGAGGTGTACCCACTGAGTTGGCTCGTTTGTGCCATGGCCAGTCCCTGAACTAGCGCATGGGCCGTGTCTCAACCTGGAAACAAAGGGTATACAAAAGATAAATAAAAATAAAACAAAAATAGAAATAAAACAGCAGGATGGGGGGGTTCCATGTGACCAGCTGGCTACAGCTGCATGCCTCCCCACGGTGCCTTGGGCCGYTCCGCCCTGGCACAGTTCACCATCTTTCGCGCCCCAACGGGCATGGTCACACTCAAACCTCCCACAACAGATATTGGGACTGGGCGGTATGCCCCTAGTTGTGGCATCCCAGCCAGACACCCCACCTGACAATGTCTTTCACTTGGATCGGACAGGCCACATGAGCCTGCGTTTTGGATCGAGAGGAAGGGGCAATGCCCCGGGTCCTCTTCCTGAAATAAGTCAAAATCAACGTGAAAATATTAATAAAATAAATAAATAAAAAATAGTTGTACCTGACTTGTGCCATAAGGCTCCCACTAATTTCCCCCGCCCGACTCCAGCGGAGTTGGAATCCAGGTTCACTCTTCAACGTCTCAGCGGGAGGACCAACTGAGCTAGATCCATTTGGTTTGGTCCAATGCCATGGGACCGACACTACTACAGTCCCAAAGAAAAGAAAAAAATAAAGTAAAATAAATAAAAAAAAGTGAAAACAACCATACCGAAGATGGGGGGGTTGTGGGGCCTGCTGCTAATCAGCAATGTGAGCCGTGGTGATGCTGGCTCAGGTGCAGATCTTGGGGATAGCAGCAATTATTCAGATGGAAACTGTGCAGACCGAGGTGAAGGCAGACTCCACGTGACCAGCTGCTGCAGCGGCCTCCGCCTTGGTGCCCCCCTGACCAACTGCAGTAGTGCATATTTGGTACCTTGCTGGCTGTACGGCGCCGGCCACAGACGGTGCAAGAATCGGTGACCGAGAACGCCCTTGTCCTGCTGCCACATAGACTGTTGACAAAAAGGGCGCACACATGGTACATTTAGAACTCTGGCAAATCTATAGGACCGGTCCTGCGCCTCACGGGCCCAAACGTGCATGCTCACACTCACCCCTCTCACGACAAATCGTGGTTGTACTTAGTTCCCACAGCAATGGTTTCAAAATCAGCACCGACGCCGGCCCCACCAACGTTCCCATACTCAGTCCCCATGGTTGTCGGATGGTGCTCCCGCGGAGGGTCCCAGCCAATGAGGTTTCTTCTGCCTCGTCGGTCTCTGCCCCATCTT